CATTTTCCTTATACTCGCGGAAAGGGAGAAAGAGGAAGCCGAGACGATGGAGTCGCATTGATTTAAGGCCATTTTTCTCCCTATTTTCTCGAGCGGAGCGGGATTAGATCCTTCCACGAACTGGGAAGAGGTTCGGATTCGTCTCGAGAGGTGGTCAGAGGTCTCCCCAGAAGCCGAGAAGAGGCGAGAGAGGCGAGAAAGCCTGCGAGAGAGTGGGAAAAAAGGCATCAGAAGTTCCTCTCGGTTCCTCTTGGTGTTCCCGTTGGGGTCGTGACGCTCGGGACTCCTTTTTCGCCCCCGGTGGTGTCCTCGCCTGCATCAATGAGAAACGAAGGCGTGATTTAGTGATCTCGAAAGCCCGTGAAACCCCCACCCGCCCCCCTTCCACCCACCCACCCCCCTCCCCCCCTCGCAATCCCCAACACAAACACTCCAGAAGAAAAAAAACGGAAGAAGAAAGAGTTAAAACTCCCCCTTAACCCCTTTGCAAACAGCCACCCAACCCCCCCTACTCAGAAACCCCCTTTCAAACCCCCTGAAAAACCCGTCTGTGAAGAAAAAAAACTTTTACTCCCCATCCTTCCTCCCTCTCTCTCTCTCCTCCCTCCTCTCTCCTCTTTCCTTCCTTCCTCCTCTTCCCTCCTCTCCGCCAAGATGTCTTCGGGAATCATGGGGTGCAGAGAGTTCGTGGTGGGAGGGAAGTACCGCCTCGTCAGGAAGATCGGCAGTGGGAGCTTCGGAGACATTTACCTCGGGATCAACATCACCAATGGAGAGGTGAGTTGCGTCTCGGCTTTGGTTGTTTGCGCGACTCGTGGGCCGGTTATTGTCTGTTGACGCGTTTATTCCCTTTCCGTCCCGGGTCTCCACGATGTGGTCGTTATTTTTTTATTATCTTGGTTTATTATTTGTTACTGTTTACTTATTCTGTATATTTATTTTCTGTTATTTGTTTACTATTTATTTGCTTATTGTACTCTCCCAATTCCCCTTATTTAGGTTATTATTTGTCTTTGTCCTTGCTCTTTTGGGGTGTAGAATTGAACTTGGGTATGCTGTCGAAAATAGAGAGAATATTTTGGTAATTATTTGGTATTTGACGTTATGGTGTAAGTTACGAGGGGACGCTTGGATACAGAGGGAAATGGACATTGCCATCTAATAGAAAATAAGGAATAGTCAGAAACAATATAGTTTAAGCTGCAATGGCCTTATATTTACCGCGAAATGAAAATATTTGCTGCATCTCATTGCTCAGAGACTAAGTCCACAACACTCATATGGACAGAGTTCTAAATGTCCATTTTCTAGAAGTTATCACGAAGTGCTAATAAAATAGGGGTACAGGGGGGCTGCCCCTCTGTCTAGGTAATAAATAGAAGGACGGAAAGGTTAGGTTGCGTGCTTAGGTTTGCATGATACCCTGGTTTTGGGACTTAGTCTCTGGAGGGTGCGTCACGTTGTAACAATTTCAGACATATTTACAACTTCATTTGCATTTGGTGTAGGATGTTCGTGCTTATTTTGAATTGAAAGTTAGGGCACGCATGCTAGCCGAGCAAAGAGATTGTTTATTGGCTAGTTAGTTATATGAAGACCAAAGGCGACTATCTGAGAGTTGTTATTATTTAATTGGATTGTGCCGTGTTGACAGTTAGGAATGAAGCGTTCGGAAGTGTCAGTATTCGTTTAAGTTCTAGGATAAAAATGGAGAATCTAGATTGCTTGTGAGAAATCAATGTTCCTGAAGTATCGGAAGTGTGGAAGGATTAATATATTTCACCTGTTTTGGTTGTATTATTCATTACCGTCTTTGTGATTTTCTGTTTCCTTTCTTTGTACACTTTTATGTCCTCACTGCTTGCTCTCTCTCTTTCTGCTTCTTAAATGCTTTTCCGATCCTTCTCTTGCCCTTTCTTCTCCTAAGATTCTGTCAGTTTATCCAAATTTCCCTTTCCTCTTTGTATCCTTTTCCCTTAATGTATTATCTCCATGTCTCCTTATTCTGATGTAATTTACACACACACACACACACACACACACACACACACACACACACACACACACACACACACACACACACACACACACACACACACTCTCTCTCTCTCTCTCTCTCTCTCTCTCTCTCTCTCTCTCTCTCTCTCTCTCTCTCTCTCTCTCTCTCTCTCTCTCTCTCTCTCACTCACTCACTCACTCACTCACTCACTCACTCACTCACTCACTCACTCTTACTCTCCCCCTCTCCCCTTCTTTCCTCCCTCCCACACTCTCTCTTCTCTCCCCTTTGTCTCCTCTTTCCTTCTCTCCTTCTGTCCCTACTCCTGTTCCTTTCTCTTTTGTCTTTCTTTTTTAGATTTTCCCCATTTCCCTCCTACCCCCTTTTTCTCTTCCAAATCTCTTGATAATAGAAAGTAGGAAAAGAAATTAGAAATAAAAAATAACATAGATAGATAGAGAGAGGGAGAGACAGAGAAATTGAAAGAAGAAGAAAAAGGGAAAGGAGAAAGAGGAACGAAAGGGAAGAAGAGGTAAGAAGAGGGAGATAAAGGAAAATGAAAGGGAAATTGAGGTCAGCCTTGGAATAGCATCTTTTCCTTGGGGTGAGCAATGGGAACTACGATCAAGGTTGTCTTGACCTCGGAATGTTTTTTTCTTTTTCTTTCTTTCCTCAATTTATTTTCCTCTGAGTGAGATATGAAGCGTATTTTATGGACGAAATGAGAGATTTTTAGTTAGTTGGAGAGAGAGAAGGAAAAGTAAATGTTTTGGATGCGGTTGGAAGGTGAACAAGGCCGTAATCTTATTTCTAATGTTTTATTTTTATTTTTCATTTTCTTTGCAATGTGCTTGTGTATTTGGTGTATTGTAGGTTATGTTGGGAAACAGAATCAGACAAAGAAATGTTTCGTTATTTTTCATTTGTCTGTGGTTGTGTTTTTGTCTTCCTCCACAAAGTCATATTTAGTCTGAAATTCAAGAAACCATTTTGTTATTATTTGTATCATGTGGTTGGTATTACACTATTATTACGTTCGGGTAGTGCTAGAGTGATAAAAATACATGTGATGGTGATTGCACAAGGTGATGTAATTGTTTCATCATGCATACCAGTTTGTAAAGGTTTAACCATATGTTGGCCAATCAGAATACCTTTTAGGTTTGGTTTACCTTTGATTTTGTTATTCCCTGCTTTGTTTTGGGAGGAATCTTAGGCAAAATGAACAACAGTACTTTTCTTGATTATTACTAAGTTCAAATGGATAACTTGTTTTGTTTTTTCTTATGGTGTTTGTGGTGTCCTGGAACAGCTGTTTCTGTTTATTCGTAGCAAACTCACCCAATTTCTCTAAAGTGGGATAGGTGTGTATGCCTTTGAATAGAATAAGTGTGTATTGTTATTTGTATTCATAGTTGAGTCTTTGTTTTGATGATACGTATTATGAATGGGATTTTGACCAAGATTTTGATGTGACTGGTTTGGGGCACTGTCAGTTGGTCATGATTTAGAATGAGGTTGATGCATTTATTAGACTTGGAGTAGGAGTGGGAAGTTGATATGTTATGGTTCATATTTGTATTTTCGATTGATGTGAAATTGACGAATGTACATTGTGTTTACTTTGCTGGTGGGGAAACAAAGAAAGAAAGTGTTTTTTGTGTTGTCTTATAAAGTTGTTATACTGTGTATGTTGTTTCTTGTGGAAATGTTAATCTATTAGCCTATTATTTGCCAAAATTTAATTATTTTAGTTAAGGTGAAGTTGAACAATGAGAAATGTTGATTTATTGGAAATATTGATTTTACTTTATATGGAAAGGAAATATTTATTGGTATTATATTGTGTGCTAAAGGCATTTATGCATTAAAAGATATTTGGTTTGTCATTCTTCTATACATTTTGAAGTGTTTGGCCCTTCCCCTTAAATATGGTCTGTGCCACTGAGCTTACTATGAAACTAAAACAACAGAAGAAAAAATGTTGGAACATGGTCTTTAGTTTTCCTGCTGTAATGGAACAGCTGTTTTGTTTTTTCTGCATAGATTTGAAACTTTTAAAGGAAATTCATGAAAAGAAGAGCTCTTATTTTCTGCATTTAATAAAATATTCTCTTATGGACATGTGGGGCCTGTATTTTGAGGTGGAATATTTTTTTAATTATTATTATTTATAGTTCAAAGGTTCATTGGTAAAATGTTCTGTATTTGTATCTTAATATTTAATGAGATTTTGATATTAAGAAGCTAGATGTATGGTATAATTCTAAACAGAAAAAATAATAGGAAATAATAACCTTGAAGTTCTAATTCAGTGTAAATGGGAAAATTTAGCAGACAGCTTTTAGGATAGATATATTGTACTTTTAATCTATATCTTTTGATTAATAGTTATCTACAAATAGTAATGTAAAGATTTCAAAACTGTCTTGGGTATTAGGAAATCAGTTCTAGTGTGACATAATACGACTTGATTAAAAAAAAAAAAGTTGATCGTGCCATACTCTGACCTATCGTATTTTACTGTATTTCCCTGGCCTTGCAGCGCTGGCCCATTCCTTACTTCAGTTTGACCAGATTTACAAAATGAAAATCTCTTAACTGGTATTTCATTACCTTATTGATCTGAAATAGGTCATTGCCTAGCTTTACCTTTCCTTACCTTGACCTTGTTTGTCTTATTGTATTACTGTATTTTGACTGATTTTTTTTCTTTTACCTTTTTAAACCCTACCTTATGTTTCTTTTACTTTAGTTTAGCTTTCTTAATTTACTATACTGACTGGTGTAGGCTTACCATGACCTTGCCTTATTATATGCTCTCTGCCTTGCCTTTATTTTTCATTTCATTACCTTTGTGTATCTGAGCTTACCTTTATCTTACCTTACCTTACCCTTACCATACCTTTACCTTACCTACCTTACCTACCTTACCTTACCTACCTTACCTTACCTTACCTTACCTTACCTTACCTTACCTTACCTTACCTTACCCTTACCTTACCTTACCTTACCTTTACCTTACCTTACTTACCTTACCTTACCTCCTGTATTCTGGATTGCGTTGTTTTGCTTTTACTGAACCATTGCTATATCCAAATAGCTTAATATTTTGTCATTGTATATTATTCTACTTTTCTTTACTGTAGTCTACATTACTATACTAATATTACATAACCTGACCGATCTTTACCTTAACCCATTGGATCCGGTCGTTTTATGGCAATCACATGGGCCAAAATATGGGCATTAGACTTACGTGAACGGACGCTTTGCCAGGGGCGCGGCTAGTAGGCCGGACGCACACGATCACTTGTGTGCTGTGACAAAACACCATGCCTCCCTTTGCTGTGTTATTTTCTCTATATGCATAAGTGTGTTTGGCTCTTTTGCCATTTTCCAATGTCCATATTTGTCATTTCATTTGCTTTATCGAGATGGTGATAGAAAGTTCTCCTTGTGCCAACTCCATATCTCTCTTAGTAGTCCATAACTCTGTGCAAGAATAATAACTAACATTTTGTTATTTGTATAATTTTTTGAAGTTTACCTTTCTTTTCATTTTTCTGTAATATTACCTGTGCTGCTAGTCATGGTGGCTAGGGATAGGATGCTGAGCTTCGAAACTGCGTCCTTCCTGGAGCCGGTGCACTTCCAATCTTGGCTCATGGATATTACATTCCACACTCATTTATCAAAGTAAATTATGCAAAAAAAAACTATGAAATGCCAGAAAGTCTAATCAGCCTCCAAGAGGTTTGTGCACTTGTAGCAAGTC